GCCGCCACGACCAGTCTGACGGGGCTCATGCTTATAACAGTAGCTTGGTGGAGTAGACTCATTTAGACCAATATAATCATTAGGTTTTAGCCAGGTTTCAGTCAAGCAGAGTACATCAAAACGATATGTGTGTGTGTGTGTGTGTGCGCGCGCAGTGGATTACTTCTGCATGTATGTTAATTACACATGAAATGAAAGCTCTTGTCAACATCTCAGAATGGGACATTCGTTTGGGGAGAGACAGATTAAATTCAGACCCTTGACTCGAATCTTCAGCCATTATAATTTCTCTTTTCTTGTGGAGCGTGAGCTGATTTTCATAAAGAAATGTGAGTCACATCACTGACTGTTTCTCCTCTGAACATCATTCTGAAGGATCTAATGAAGCATCAGCAGAGGCTTTCAGGACCTGAGGCTGGATTCAGAACAACTGGCTTAAGAAATTATCTCAAGACATTTGCTAAGATATATTCTAAGTGCAATTATTAAAAAATTCTTGAGAAATTTCTTGCTGAACACCATTTGACTAACATGACCTAAAAGAAAAGACAAGAAAGTGTGCAGATCACATCTGAAACAAACCAAACCATTTATTCATGAATTAATTAATCATCTTACCTTTCCTAACTTAGTTATTTATGCTGATTTTTAAGAAAAATTTGAATTTTTACTACATTTTGTTTTAAGAACAAAAGAAAATAATATTCTTTAGAAGTTTTTTTGGGAATACTAAATATTCTACTCTTCTTTATTCTCAAGAAGTTTCATGAATCCAGCCCCTGATGTGATCCAGAAAGACCAGGACTAAAACAAGAACCAGCTCACGAGAGGCCAGATGCTGCAGAAAAAAAAGGTCTCAGAGCCAAAACGTCAAATAAAATGGCGATTGAGGGTATTTTGTGATTATTATATGTCTGCTTCAGAACGTAAAAACTGATGTTGTTTGTTTGGCAGATCACAGTCACTTCATACACGGCATAAAAGCTGTAAAAACATCCTGTGGGCAACCGAGAGCTTTTTCATTTCAGATCTGGGAAAATGTCAGCAGTTTAATTGAGGAGATACAGCTGAGAAAGAGAGAGAGAAAAAGAGAGACAGAGAGAGCGAGAGAGAGAGAGAGAGAGAGAGAGAGAGAGAGAGGAATGCAAACATCGTCTCTTGCAGGGAAACAGATTCAATTAAAGAGTTTCTGTGGGAATATTGTCAACATACCTACAGGAGTCAGTTATTATTTGGTGCTCATCATTCTTCTCATTGCTCATTATGGGATGTTGGGTTGTTCTGGGCCGCTATTGTTAATTTCACAAATGTGTTTTAGCAGCAGTGAGTTTCATGCAATCTCGCTGGCAGCACACGCACGCTCAGCTAAGCTTGATTACTTCCTCCGGAAACGCCTGCCGCGCTCGACATGCCACTCCACTGATACACGGACAGATGGATGGATGGATGGATGGATGGACAGATAGATGGATGGGTGGATAAGTGTGTGTTTTCAGAATAGAGGACTCACTCAATTGTGTGTGTGGCTTATTCAAACCAAGCGTGAGATGATAATATGACACTAATTGCTTTAAGAAGGTGTGTTTACACCAGACCAAAATGAATTCAGGCTGAATAATTCACCCATGTACAGTAGGTGGCGCTGATCAACAAACACACCTGACAAACAGGAAACACGTGCTGGATGACTGGCCTACTGCTCCTACTGTTCCTGTCATGTCTTTAAATGGGGAGTCATCTCAATTATCACCAGTAAAATATGGAGTGCCACAAGGATCTGTCCTAGGTTCTCTGCTATTTTCGATATACATTTCGCCCCTTGGTAATATTATTAGAAAATACGGGATTAGTTTCCACTGTTATGCTGATGATACTCAACTATATATCTCAACAAGACCAGATTAAACTTCTAAATTATCTAAGCTAACAGAGTGTGTAAAAAATGTAAAAGATTGGATGACCAATAATTTTCTCCTATTAAATTCGGATAAGACAGAGAACTTTTGGTAGTACCTAGGATAGCAAAGTCCACTAAAGGAGGTAGCCTTTTTCACATTAGGCTCCCAAACTCTGGAATAGCCTTCCTGATAACGTTCGGGTTTCAGACACACTCTCTCTGTTTAAATCTAGATTAAAGACACATCTCTTTGGTCAAGCATTCAAATAATGCATCTCATAATCTTGCACTGCAGTTATATCTGATCAAATGCACATTATTATTCTTTAGCTTGGGTTAAACAAATCAATTTTGCTTGGTTGGAACAGCAGCTACGCTAATTATGTCTCTATTTGTTTCTCTGTTTCTGCTGGGATTGACATCCCGTGGTAACTAGGATTTACACAAGCTTCAGTCTGGATCCAGAACACCTCAGAAGAGATGATGCCAACCCCTCAGAGGACCTCAGATGATGCAACCCTGAAACAACATACAGAACTACCACATTTTGCTATAAGTTTGATTGCATCATATAATAATTGCTGTTAATAGTGTTCGTCTGTTTGATTACGTCTTTAATTGATTTTTCCATACATTTCTGCCATATGTACATTAACTGACAGTAACCACTGATAAGCTACTACTAAATATTGTAAAAACTTAATTTTCTGTAAAGTTGCTTTGCAACGATTTGTATCATAAAAAGTGCTATACAAATAAACTTGAATTGAATTGAATGTCTTTATACAGCAGAATCAGTCAGTGTAGTATGCTCAAATGCTAGTATGCTGTTCTGAATTCAGTCACAACGACAGAATGCAGATCGAGCAGCTGTTACGACGCACTGAGGAAGATATATTTAGTTTTGTTTTACAGATTTATATAGCACGACAGAGTCGACCAAAGTGCTGTACAAAAAATTTAATAAATACATAAAACAACTAAGCATATAAAACAAATCACAAATTTATGACAAAGATAACATCACACATAATCAAATATTAGACAGCATTTACTCCAGACCATAAGCCAATTTAAAAAGATAAGTCTTAAGTGATGATTTAAAAACCTGAAAAGAGGAGGCTGATCTTACATACAATGGCAAATTATTCCACAGCTTAGGTGCTGCCACCGAAAAAGCACGATCCCCCTTGAGTATTTAGAGTAAAGTATACTGTTGCATCTGACTGATGTTGTTAAAGTCCAAATGAATTACCAAACCCAGATGAACAAACTACCATGATGTAAATACATATGAGATAATGTACATGAAGAAAAACTGTGTGACGACAGAATTGTCACCCTAACTATATCCTGAGCTAACCAACCCATAGCACACACACACAGAGCATGTTGATCATGTGA